TCTCATAGATATCTCTTATTTTAAGAATAAACAACACTGTAAATGAATAAAATTTCACATAGAATGCTTTTATTTACAGATGTTAGAGTGATACCGTACGGCGAAATTATTTATCTGCACCGATATTTACTTTAGCAAGCTATTCTAAATTTCAAGCGCAAGTCATTACATCACGCGAGACCTGTCATGGCGGCTGAGGAAAACGAGCAGAAAACATGCAGTACTGAAGTATTTTACCTTGCGATTATATTGCCTGAAGACGCCCGTATTTGAAAAAAAAATATTTTTGCACCATTAAATGCACCATGGAATTGTAGCCCTCTTCTAAAAACATCAGATCAAGAATATCGTAGAGGGCTACATTATTGCAGCTTAAAGGAATCAAAACAAAGAGCAAACATTTGCAGAATAAGGTTAACAATAAATGTAAATCTAAATAAAAAAATCCGATCAGTAGAAATCAAAACCGGTTTCATGCAACTTAAAAAGGTCGTTAAAAAAGCTTCAATCATACGTTGAAAGGGTGACTTTCAAGATTAGTCATGAAATTATGCTCATGAAATGCAAAATAGCTCGATATGTGGCATCAAATTCGAGTTTCTTCGGGCATATCAAACATATCTTGAATTAAAATTGCATAATTGAGAGTCTAGACCTTAACTTACAAATACAGGTGTACCTGGATAATTTTTTAATGAGTGGCAGATCACTTTGAATGGAAAATTGTAATGTTGCAGTGTTTCTTAATAAGTTAATTCAGCCCGAGGATAATGAAGCAGGTTTAGAGTAGAGTCAGCATTTGAACATTGTCTTAAAGTTTTATATATAGAAAAAAAAACAAACATTAAATTTGAAAAGTTAATTGAAAACTGTTTTCTTTGTTGTAAATTTTAATTTATAAGTGTCACTTTCATTGTTTGAAGGGAATAGAATTTTAAATTTAGTGTACGACTCTTTTATGATTCTGGGCCCTGATAACCTTTCGTCTTAAAAAACACAAAATGTTCCTTTTATTTGTTTATGTAAAACAGTAAACCCCCAAAATGGCTTAGCCAGACTCACGTAACGTTGAATGTGTGTAAGACAGATGTACATTTACTCATTGTTTTCTCGAGTGCCGGTGTTGTAGAGTAGGATTTCCCACATAGCCAGCTCCCCCCCCCCCTTTGGAATCTGTACTCTAGAGTATAAATTTCACACCAGAGCCAAATTTCCCCCTCTTTCTTTCTCAGAGTAGGATTTTCCCTCTTTTATCAATGCCTACATTATAACGACAATAATGTGACAAAATGTTTATATGAAAGTCAATTAATTTTCTCTAATTTAAATATTGGTGTTTTGGTCTCATGATCATGAATTGTCAAATATAGTATGAAGTCTTAAAATATATAGTTCAAATCATTGAGTCTCAACCCAAAATTTTAAGTTATGGGAGAAAAATAATTAGTCACTTCAAAAATCGTAAGACTCGATGTTTCAACACCATCTCCCGGTGCAGCTGTACGTGCTTGCTCACGAGTTTTTAAATAATATCAGATCACTTTAAATTATGAATATTTTTTTATGAAGAGATACTAAACAGTTATTAGAGGAACGTGTCATCTGACCTTAAATGGTTTGTGAGTTTGTGATAACATTCCTACAGGTATATCGTTGTCAGAAACATGTGTCATTTTCGGAACAAACCTTTGAGGAATAAAAAACAAAACCCTTCCCCCAAACGTATATATATATATATATATATATATATATATATATATATATATATATATATATATATATATATATATATATATATATATATATATATATTGTAAATAAGATTGGGTTGTCTCCAAATCATGCACTGCAGTATGGTTCTCCCTATTTTGCTACTGTCATATAAATAAAGTCTGCGGGCATTAATTTTTTGGTTTCTCAAGGAATTTTGAATTTCTAATATGTTCGTTTCCCCTCCCCCCGCACCCCCGGTCCTTTTCATAACTTAAATTCTTCCTTCAGACTAAGAATTAAATGCTTGTTTCAAATATTTTACGATTCACAAACTTTATTTCCATAATGATACATGGCTTGAGGAGGGCTATGTGCGACAGAGGCAACCTTGTAACAATTTTTAAGCACACATTTTGCATGGCTCTCTTTTTTTTGAATGCCTCTACCGCTTAATTGAATGATTGTAATTTTCCAAGAAGCATGGCTAAGGCTTTTTATAAGGTGAACATTTACTCAAATTATACTCATGGCCCAACGGTTAATCATTTAACACTATCCATTCAAAAACGTTAAATGGAAGTCTATGGTTAGTAGAGGAGAATCATGCAACAAGTAGGGAATACTTGTAGGTTTATGAACAGTACGTATTTGAATAAAGCACCAAACGAACATTTATATGCAATGAGAAAATATGACATACGGGTAATGCGTACATGTAGAATAACGAGGGAGTCATGATGCATCTACTTTTCATAACAGAACAACGAGTAATATCCAACTGGGATTTCAAGCTGACATATCTTCCTTGTATGTTAGTAAACATATAAGTATTGTTCTTCAAGCATATAAAATTCTTCTTCATTAAATACACAAACAAACAACGCAATGATCTAATTGTGAACTGGGAAGCAGTATTATCTGTTGTATGAAGTTACCGCCCTTATAATTTTGAATTACATTCATTATTTGCATAAATAAACAAATCTGTTGAATCCAGTTTAAAGTAAAAAGATCAAGAATAAACATCATATAATTTCTTTCAAAATAACGTAACGATAAGAATCTTATCTTTGTCGTAGAATAAATACTTTTCCATCATTTTTATTGTAAATAACTATAAAACATCTATGTATTATGCATATATACAGTTTATTTCACAGGAATAAGAGTATCTGAGTCACACGGACAATAAATAGATAAAGAGAGAGGGGGAGAGTGGGGAGGAGAGAGAGAAAGAGTGGTGAGAGAGAGAGAGAGAGAGAAAGAGTGGTGAGAGAAAGAAAGAGTGGTGAGAGAGAGAGGAAGAGTGGTGTGGGAGTGGTGAGAGAAATAGTCGTGTGGGAGGAGGGGGAGAGGAGAGAGACTAGGGCAGAGGAAAGGGGGAGGGGGTAGGACAGAGGGGGAGAGAGAAATATGTGTTGAAATCTTATTACTTTATATCTACGATATGTAAAAAGTATAAAACATACAACTGGATTGACTTTCGATTTTTTTTTGTATATTTGATGTTGTAAACTCTGCAACTCCAGCATGAGTACTTCAAAATTTACTCTTATTTTGACCCTCTTGATATCATATTTGTATATTTCGTCTACTTGTATAAAATAAGATATTTAACTTGAATGTGTTGCAAGTTACCAATCATGTTTTCCAGTATCAGCAAAATTTACTAGTCTACAAAAGTAAAGTCTACAAGTTTGTCGAACTTTGATAATGAGAAATTATTATTCTTCTAATTTCTTGTTTTTCCAAATTTATTTCAAAATTTTTATTTTTGTTTCTTATTTTAATTCTAACTTTTAGTTTAGATTTACCAGTTTTATATCATTTTCTTAATGTCATTTTATTTAACGATATTTAACGATTAGCGGGTTCCAGTAAAAGTTCTTCCAAGCCTCTTATATTCGAGAAGTGGTGTAAATAAAAAAATTCCAAGGAACCTTTGGAAAATTTAATATCACAAAATTATACCAGAATCAATAACGTCAATACTACGACATTTCAACTTAATATACAAGCATTCCCAACGACAATGACCCTGGGTGCCGAGTTTAGGTTTAAACTTGAAGCTATTCACTTGTGTATTGTGACGTCTCTATACGAGTTTAAAATTCTCGATAGGACGTAAAATAATATAGAATTAGACAATCAATCATTTTTTGGAGAAATACCCCAGTCTGAGGAGGTGAGTTTATGTATTTATACTATATAATCGAAAGACCCACCTCCCATTTACACCCCCCCCCCTCCCGACCCAGACCTAGAGGCTATGGTATTCACAATTTTGAAGTTGATACCTTAAGTTAACTCATCATGACTATGCACTTACTTTCCTTGGTATCTATTCAGGAACAGAGAAGATTTTCAAAGAAATAATTCATTTTCACTATATGAATTTAAATATAAATTTATTAAATTAGAGCCTCCTCCTCCCCATACCGAAACCCTGACTTGGGACCACCAATTTCACAATTTTGGAAGAGGCTTCTTTACCACGCAACCTAGTTTATCTGCTAAATATACAGGGAAGAGAGGATATTTTCAATATATGATCATTAGAATCACGCTCTTACATCAGAACATCTGACCTGGGACCAAAAATTTCAAATTTAGGAAAAGGCACCTTTTCTCAACATTACCACTCACCTAGTTTATATGCTATATAGGGGAAAGAGGACATTTTCACTAAATGATCATAAGAGGTTCTAAAGTACTTTAGAACCCCTGACCCAGCTGGGACCATGAATTTCAAAATTTTGGTAGAGGGCCAAATTCTAGTATGCTTGATATCCAGAGATATCAAATTTCGAGATCAAATTTATCATAAAGCCCTTCGGGCTTTATGGAATTTGATCTTGTGACCAACCCGTATTTATATCCCGATAGATGTTTAAAAATGATACACTATTTCTTAAATATAGTGAAAAAGTAGGAGGTCAGATTCCTATGGGGGTCATTTTTCATCGTGTGTGGAGTCTTAGAATTACCGGCCTGGAAGGGTTTTCTACTTGCCGTAGAATATTGACCGGGGATTCATTTTCTACGTAGAAATTTGACCACCTGGTCAATATTCTATGGGGGCCACTTTTCGTCGTTACACCGTCATATACCCAGATTGTTCTGTGAGACATTGTATACAGGAGGAGATCCTTGAACGAAAGGCTGGACATTTCTCTCTAAGTGAAGGTGGAGGACCTGTCTTATCCTGAAAAGAACAAAGATTTATCACTCCTGATATTGCCTGTGTCAATGTAATTTCTTTTTTTCTTCCCCAAAATAAATTTTCATTTATCAATTATTTATTAATCAATATCAATACATTTATTAATTCATATCTATATATGTCTATAGGTTATGATATATCTTGCCATAATTTTCCTTAAATACGTTCCTAGACTTCTTGTCTGTTTTAAAAATTAATAATAATAATAAGTAGAGCAAAGCTCGTTGCTGGAGCAACAGGCAGGTCTTCCGTCTTCCTTATATTCATTTAATGATTAATGCACGTCCTTGATTTGCAAGAATTTTTGAAGACAGAGCTGAAAATAATCAATCAATCAATTGACTGTTCTCTCAATACATCAAGTGTTTGAAAAAAAATGCATCAAAGAAAACAAAAATGTCTGTAGTATATAACTAAGAAATTAAAACACTGTATACCAGTTCTAGCTTCGGATGAATGAAACTAATTTTTAGTATAACAAAACAATATTTAAGAATGTCATCTGACAATTGTTTGATTCAGCTGGATGTTATCATGCTCACGTGACAGTTGGCACATGACGCATGCGGGGCACCAGCAGACCATGCAACAGTCCTCACAGATACTGCCCTGTAATACAAATAGGAAATATTTCATGCATTTTTCCTGACATTTTGAATTTATTCACCCGTATCGAAGATTCGGGGGTATATAGTTTTTGCCCTGTCCGTCCGTCTGTCTGTCTGTCCGCAAAAACTTTAACTTTGCTCATAACTTTCGATTTAGAGCTATGGTTTTCATATTTCACAGGTATATTCCTTGTGACAAGACCCTTCTTTGGGTACCATCATATTTGACCTTTTGACCTTGACCTTAGAGTTTGACACAGTTTTACAAAATTTTACCCAACTTTAACCTTGGGCATAACTTTTGAACAGTTGGAGCTAGGGCTTTCATACTTCACAAGTGTAATCATTGTGACAAGACCTTCCTTTGGATACCAACAAGATTGACCCTTTGACCTTGACCTTGGAGGTTGACCTACTTTTGTAAAACTTTAAGCTTGGTCATAACTTTTGAACAGTTGGTGCTAGGGCTCACATTCTTCACCTGTGTACGTGTATTTCTTGTGCTAAGACCTTCCATTAGATATAAACAATTGTAGTCCATAGACATTGATCTTGGAGTTTGAATGATCTACTTTTAAAAATCCTTAATCTTGGCCATTACTTTTGAACAGATGGTGATAGGGCTTTCACTCTCCACATGTGTAATCCTTGTGACAAGTCCTTCCTTTGGATAACAACAACTTTGACGCTATGACCTTGACCTAGGAGTTTGACCTACTTTTGAAAAACTTTAACCTTTGCCATTTCTTTTGAACAGTTGCTGCTACGGCTTTCATTCTTCACAAGTTTAATCCTTGTGACATAACCTTTCTTTTGATACCAACAACTTTGACCGTTTGACCTTCACCTTTGAGTTTGACCTACTTTTGGAAAAATTTAACCTTGGCCATGACTTTTGAACAGTTAGAGCTAGGGCTTTCATTCTTCACATGTGTATTCCTTGTGACAGGACTTCTCTTTGGATACCAATAACTTTAACCTTGACTTTGGAGTTTGACGTACCTTAAAAAAACTTTAACCTTGGCCATTACTTTTGAATGGTTGGTGCTAGGTCTTTAATATTTCACATGTGTATTTCTTGTGAGAAGGCCTTTCCTTGGGCACCATTAATTTTGACCATTTGACCTTGACATTGATGTTTGACTTACTTTTGAAAAAAACTTTAACCTTTTCAATATCTTTTCAATGGTTGCTGCTAGGGCTATCATATTGGTATATTCCTTTGGACAAGACCTTACTTTGGGTACCAATATATTTGATTTGCATTTGAGAAAGTTTAACCTTCGCTATGAGTTGCCATACGGGGACATCAGTGTTTCACAAACACATCTTGTTTTGTTCAAGAAACAAGACCGATAAGAAAATTCTTGGAGTATTAATATCTGACGCAGTACAAATGTTTCACCTCTAGCAGTTTAAGAAATATATTTTAAAAACAAGATACCTCTTTAGTACATGGTGATATCTCACAAGTTTGTACTTTCAAATTTATTACGTTATTTCAAAGTAATTAAAAAGAAAGATATCTCTGTATGTATATGAGAAATCTCTCTAAGAACAAAATGTGTTTGTGACGGAAACACTGGTGCACCCGTATGGCAATGCAAATCAAATATGTTGGTACCCAAAGTAATGTCTTGTCCAGATGGATTTTAGCTGTGAAATATGAAAGCCCTAACAACAATCATTGAAAAGATATGGAAAAGGTAAAGGTTTTTCAAAAGTAAGTCATACATGAAGGTCAAGGTCAAAATTAATGGTGCCGAAGGAAAGGCATTCTCACAAGAAAAACACATGTGAAAAATGAAAGCCCTAGCATCAACTGTTCAAAAGTAATAGCCAAGGTTAAAGTTTTCCAAAAGCAGGTCAAACTCCAAGGCCAATGTCAATGGACTACATTTGTTGGCATCTAAAGAAAGGACTTGTCACAAAGAATACAAATGTGAAGAATGAAAGCCCTAATAACAACCGTTCAAAAGTTATAGCCAAGTTGAAGTTTTCCAAAAACAGGTCAAACTCCATGGTCAAGTCAAAGGGTCAATCTTGTTGGTATCCAAAGAAGATCTTGTCACAAAAATTACACATGTGAAGAATGAAAGCCATAGCACCAACCGTTCAAAAATTATGGCCAAGGTTAAAGTTTTTCAAAAATAGGTCAAACTCTAATGTCAAGGATAATGGGTCAAAGTTGTTGGTATCCAAAGAAAGGTCTTGTCACAAGGATTACACATGTGAAGTATGAAATCCCTAGCTCCAACTGTTTAAAAGTATGGCCAATGTTAAAGTTGGGTAAAATTTTGTAAAACTTGGTCAAACTCCAAGGTCAAAAGGTCAAATATGATGGTGCCCAAAGAAAGGTTTTGTCACAAGAAATACACGTGAAATATGAAAGTCGTAGCTCCAAATCGAACTAATCAAATGTTATACCAACAACTTTGACCTTTTGACCTTGACCAAGGAGTTTGACCTATTTTTGAAAAACTTTAACCTTGGCCATATCTTTTGAATGGTTGGTGCTGGGGCTTTCATATTTCACATGTGTATTTCTTGTGAGAAGGTTCTTATACAAATCTTACTTTGGGTACCAACTTATTTGATTTGCATTTGAGAAAGTTTAACCTTCGCTTTAAGTTGCCATACGGGACATCTGTGTTTCACAAACACATCTCTTTTTTTTTTGTTTAATTTTTAGGAAAAGTTATATATTTTTAAGGAAAAAATGTTTATTTAGGAAAAGGAAAAGGGATAAGACATAAAAATATATCTTTGTCTGTTTAAAAGATATTTTTGTAGGTAAAGAGATGTTTGTTTGTTTGTGTGTAATTTAACGTACATCTCGAGAATTTTTCACTCATATGGAGACGCCACCACATACCGGTGGAGAGCTGCAAATTTTGACCTATACTCGGCGCTTAGGGCCATTTAGCAGTGAGGGATCTCTTTCGTGCCAGCACCTACTGCGACACGGGACCTTGGTTTATACGGTCTCATCCGAAGGACCGGTCTCCGCGTCCCACAGTGGGATTCGAACCCGCGACATAAGGATCAACTCCTTACGCTGCAACTCTAGAGCAGACGTTCTAACCACTGCGCCACGCTGGCGACCGGAAAAGAGATGTCTCTTTTAAACAACAGCTTGACTTTGCTTTTTAAAACTTATGACAATTCTTTTGCCTTCGGGCACTTGAGGAATAATCTTGAATATCATGGCAAGCATAATTAAGTTTCATGATGAAAGAAACTGACATTTGACATCAAACAGCCTTATTTATAATGTTTAGTTACTAACCATGTTTTCGAATTATTTTATATTGTATCTATTATGAAAGAAATATCGTCAGACAGGTCATGTAATTATAGAAATTTGCGAAAATGCAAACTTACGACAATGTTGTTTTCTGCGCGGACTTTGGTTCGGAGAGGAACCAAAGAACCATATCCTGCGATAGCGAAAGGTAGACAACAGGACTCGCCTAGCTTATTCGAGAGGTAACACATATAGCAATTTGCACACCAGGTCACAGCACAGCCTGTTTTAAAATAAAGGAATCCGTTGATTAAAAGATATCTGGGGCTCAATAGAACAGAATGAAATCTTTTAATGTCTTTCTGAATTACTTAATATGCTTCCATACAAAAATCTTATCTCAAAAAGAAAAAAAAATCAAATCATTTGCAAGACATTGTAATAATACTTGTTTAAAATATTAATTGAAAAATTGTTCTAAAATTGAAACAACCTTAATATTTCCATCTTTACAAAATATAAATTCAAATTACATACCTAAATGTATTGAATATACCACACATTTGGAGACGTCCGCAGTGGATGATTTTTTTTTAATGTGCACAACCTTTATAGTAAATGTAATCACTCTTTCAAACAAGCATTCTGAGAGAATTGCATTAGCAATACTAGTCCCCTACCGGCAAGTGTAATCTGGTTCCCGTTAAAAATTGAAAATGCCATAATTCCGTCGAAAATCAATGAAGTGAAACGAAATGCAAATTTGACTTATAACTCATCAAGGTAAAGTCACATACCAAAAATCTGCTCAATATCTGCAAGCGTTTAGAAAAAAAATGTGGAAAACCCTGAGAAATTGAAAAGGTCGTAATTCCGTCAAAAATCATTGAAGCGGAACGAAATGCAAACTTGATCTGTAACTCATCAAGATACACTCACATACCAAAAATCAGCTCAATATCTGAATGCGTTTAAGAAAAAGTGCGGAAAACCAAGTGGGACAGACTGACAGACAGACAGAGGGACAGCTAGACGGACGGACGGACAGACAGACAGACGGACGGGCAGACTCAGAGAAAACCTATAGTCCCCTCCGGTTTCACTGGTAGGGGACTTACAATAGTCTTTAAAATTAAAGTAGATGCCTTTGATTTTATATATACATGTATATTTGAAACAAACGTACAGGATGCCATGTCTTCGAAACAGCCGCAAATACCGGTGCTCCAGTCTCTCGGTGAAGGTCGAGTTGGGACCTGTTGTTGTTGTACAACCACAGTCGTATTGGTGGTATGCTATGCAGAGAAAGGGAAGAAGCTTTTTAATCTTAATTTTTTATTAATGTTAAATTGCCCTCTTATAATATATGTTCTTGCAGCATCAATTCTATAGGGTTATTGAACTTATATTGGTGAATATTGGCACGAGTTGGCTGTACAAAAATTTGTCTTCGAAAGGTTGACCAGACGACCTTTTTTGTTTACAACGGGGCATACGATATTGAACGCTCGTATTCGGAAATGTTTCATAAACGTAATACAAACTCAGCGTTCAATAAAACGCCAAGGTATTGAATGCTAAAATTCTCTAGACTTCTAGTAGTTTTTTTTAATTGTAGACTATTTATTAGCTATATGATAAAAAATATTTCTGAAGTATTAGTCTATCACCTATACTTACTGGAGTATATAGAATAGAGAAAATGAAAGTATTTTGATACTTGGTTCGAAAATATCCAAGAAAGATTGAAATACTATTTATTATTTCACTGATTAAGAAGTTAAGGTAGATAAACCTTTTTCAAGCACCATGAGATATGGTATCCAGGTTAAGCAGGTGTACCTATCGAATGGGCGAGTAATAAGTTTAACAACATACTTTGTACACGTTTAAAACAAGAATGAAAACTGGTTTTATTGAATTCACTTCAAATGATCCTTCAAAGATTTAATCTTATAAATAGAGAAGATTACTAAATATTTTAAGCAAACGATAAACAAAATACTACGTACAAAATTTCATATCATTTGTTATATTAACCATCGGGTCCCATATTATCCCTCGGGCCTTAGACCCTCGGATGAATACGATATATGATATAGATTTTGGTATATCTTATATTCGAAATTTCAGTATATTACAATTTTTAATTTATATCAAGCAATTACATGTAGTATTAAATGCAACATTGATTTAAAATATGTACATGCCAATCTCAAGTCATCCATTGAAGTTTCCATGTGTGTATTATCACTTTCAGCCATTTTTACACAATTAAAATATTCTTAATTCACATAACATCCTAAGAACCCAATTGCAAGCGAGCGTAGATTGACCCACAACAGAGTGATCTGCTATTGATACCAAAGAATCACGTGACCCTAATATCGAATACGCGACAACTACGGTCGCACATAAGTATAAATATACGTCCATACTGCACTTCACTATTCAAAAAAATAAACAATAACAACAACAATATATGCATTTTAAAGTGCTAAAAATATACTTGCTCGGCAGAGCGTGCGCTAGAAAAGGAACTCTAACACTACAAGAAAACTTTTCAAACACGTCATTTCCAGAAATCTAATTTCATTGGCTGTTACTCAGTATATAAATATTGCTATATGAAACGTTTCAGTGCACACAAATTGTTTACATGTTGTTAGGACAACTATTTCTCGCTATGCTATCATAACGCAAGAAATTATAACTAAGATATTTTATATGTGAGTTCACATTGTCATTTAAGAATGTTTCGGGCAAGCATATGACCTTTCTCTTCAAAATAGGACCGGTCCTGGGTATTGTGACGTCATCCATATCGCACAGTGCGGAATCGGTGTATTTTCTACTAAGTATATGAGAAATGTCGTTATCGATGCGTTAAATAATTTTCAGGCATCAAAAGAAAATACCTTTGATATTACGTAATATTCTTTTTAAACAGCAACAGAAGAAATCATGTTTAGCAACTGAAAATGGTCTCTATGTGCCGCATATTGTCTTGTATCGATCCAAACAAACCATGATTAAACAAAATTTTCTCTATGCGCCATATGTTGTCTAGAATGTAAATAAAAATACTCACGTATCCGTATGGCTGCCCCACCCCTGGTTGACCTGTTACCGGCATAGGTCCAAGTCCTGAATACTGGGAGGCATTGTACCCAGGACTGGATCCTTGATCGAAAGGTTGGACATTTTGCTGTGGGGGTGTTAATGGAGGCTTTCCTAGGAGATAGAAAACCCCGAAATTTAACCCTCCTGATTTTGGCTGTCTTGTAATTTCTATTACATTTTGTGAAAAAATAAATTTAATATTTATAATTTATTCATTTATTCTCATTGAGAGAACGCGTCTATAACTAAGTAAATTTACATTTAGTATACTTTGGATCAGAGTGATCTTTAATCTTGTCGACACGTTTCCTATTTTTTCTTTCAAAGTAATAGAAATTTTGTCGAAGAAAATGCTTCGTTAATTTTTAACATTTCCGAATCAACTGAAATTTCGAACACAAAATTATACACTAACAAAGAATTCCTTACTGAGCACTGAGGAATAGTTGATGCAAAATTATTTTAAAAAAAAACCCTGAGTCAACATTGAACAAATAAGGATTTCTTAGAAATATGAGCAATAATTTTTTTATTACTTATTTAAAAATAAATCTCAAATGAGCTACAAAAATTTAATCAAAACCAGACAGAAGAAAAACGAAACTAAAGTTTTGTTTCATCTTTACTCCAAATAATATTTCAATATCAAATTTCCCCTCAGACATACAGAAGAAATTATACTTTGTTGGGCAATAAAAAAAAATCATTGCAAATATTTTAACCAAGTGTACAGACCTGATTCCCAGTCCGCCATTTTGTTTTACTTGGACACGCCCAGCAGATCTCAGGCAGTGACCGTTTTATTTATGGTTGGCATGCGTAACATTGATAAGAAGTGATCAATTTCCTATTATAAAAATGCATTACATAATTTGATTTGAGAGGGCTTTTTCACTTGTGAGAGTTAAAAAAAATTGTCAATTTATGACATTATGATTATCATATGGCAGTTTTGCAATCGGTGAATTAGTCTGAACCATGGTAATTGCTCTGGGAATCACTAACTTTGTAGCATTCCTTTAGAGAATTAAGGGAAAAAAAATGTAAAATACTATCTCTGAATGAACACCATTCGTAGCACTATCAAATTTAAACAATTGAAAGATCTCCACCTGCTGACTGACAAGGGGCACATAGTTCTCAACTTACTCAAAATTAATATTCTTTGTTTCCAAGCATTCTCTCTTTCTCCCTCCCACCTCCTCTCATTTTCATCTTACTCTCTCTCTGTGTGTGTGCGCAAAAACTGTCAACACTAAGCAAATATAAAGGAGGAAGTAATAACTATCAAAAAAGATATCAGGTTATATCTCATCCATAGGTTACCAGTATTGAGCGACAGGTAATAGCACGACAGTGCAGAGGAATGCCACACTGCAGAAAACTAGGTCAAACAGGAAAAAAAGTTAAATAGCTCTTGATAAGATAAGGAATGTAACAGAAACTTGTGAAAAAATAAAAGAAGTGAAAATTATGTAAAAGGTAAAAATAACGAGCAGTGATCAATCTAAAAAAAATCCATAAACAATACAAATATGTGAAGAGGGCATAAAACACGGACCCCTGGAAATTCCAAGGTGGGATCAGGTGCCTAGGAGGAGTGAGCATCCCCTGTAACTGTTAAGCAAATGCTTAAAGAACAATATAAGAATATCATACATGATAGGAATAGATGTCTTCGAGGCATGAATTTTTCATGGCTTACCCATTAGAATCTGACCTTCTCAACACAACACAAATGTTTTTATTAAAAAAGATAAAGTTCGAACCATTAGAGAAATTTATCAAAGGGAACATCCAACGCTAATTTTTGGAAATGGTTGGCCTAGAATCAATTCTTTTAATTTGAGATATGACAGATGCATAATTGCTATTCCCATTATATCAGGGTCTGTGATACATAATTATTTTTGTGATTTAATATCTAGATAGACATGTATCACAGGCTCTAAGAGAAGCAAAGATCGTTGGCTTACAGTACTCATAATACATTGAATGTAAGGTTTAATCAAACTGATACTCAGAATGCCATTGAGACCTCTTACATTGCCTGCAACTTGTAAATTGCTTCTATCTCATTTATACGTATTGTTTGATAATCTAAACCTTCACGCGGTTCAATATTTAATTCTTTGCAAAAGTACGAATTTCAATTGCATCCTAGTTTACAACTTTCAGATTTATCCGTTACTGCTTCCTTTGATTGATCACGTGCATCACCTACACTATCTGTTTCAAAACTAAATTTCTGAGCCCCATAGTATCTCATCCTGCCTGAACTGTCCTATATATCGATAATCCTCTTCCATGGCATCCTGTAAACTCCGACATTATTCCTTTCATGACCTTTAAGGAGTTCATACATTATCTAAATGGATTGAAACTTTTCTCTCTAGCATAACCATGCATGTTACGAGTATCTCCTGTGTGGTCACATGTACACAGACCGGTAGGCTATCAGAACATTTGGTAAATATTTGTCCCAATTGTGTTGATGGTCCTAAACATATGCAATTAACATTGTCGCCAAGGTTTTATTACAGCGCTTGACCATTCCATCCAATTTCGGGCGAAAGGCCCTAGTTCTAGTCTTATAAATGTTGCCGTTCAGGGCAGTTCATTCTCCCTTATGCAACTTGTGGGTCTCCCAATTCTGTGAATTGGACAAAAGAACTCTGAGTCAGGATTAAAATGTGTAAAAATTTATTATTGCTTGTTGTATTTAATTTGCATAATCTCTTTGAATGATTATCCCTATTTCTTGCTCCCGTAGAAATAGTATTTCTCTCCCAGTTAGAAATGGGAATAAATTATTCTCAAATGGGAGAATTAAGTTTTAGGGAATTATAAATAAATTAACAAAAGTATAAAAGTATTTCCAAAAATACTGGGACTCCCTTCACAATACAATAGATAGTCATGGAAGAGCTATTTCACCTCCCACTAATTTTCTCCCACAGAACAATTCAATATAATTATTAAAAGTAAAAATAAAATATTATCCCAAAATTCATTAGCTCCCAGAATTAATTAATTAAATAATAGTAATTACCCATCGGCTATCGCTCCCAGACATTCTGGCGATACGAAATGTACAAGCTGACTTACAAAACTTACAAACTGACTGGTCGGTCGATCTTTGCTTGCTTATATTGGCATCGGGCTCGATTGTCATGACGTCACGATAAAGTGAAAATACCCGCCATCTTCGCATAGCAAAGAAGCTTTGATATGCTACCATGCCGATCGGACCGACTAAAGGAAACACGCACCCTAGGGTGCGGATAATTACTAATTGATACATTTGGGACTTATTGCTGATGAATTTCGTAAACATAAACTAAAACAATTGTAAACAGTTAAAGCGTGACTTGGGAATGTAAGATGTCGAGGGATTTTGGGGTAACGCTAATTACCGACCTCATCCCAATGATGAACTTGGTAAATATACAATTGATGATCAAAATAAAACATACAATGAATAAAACATTATTTGTCGTTTTATAGTCCAATATGTTACAGGGAATATAATTTAACTTGTACTGTGTATTTCCACAGAAAGTGCTTCCCATAGTAAAGGGAATAAATAGGGAACCGTAACATAAATACCAAGAAATATGTTACAAATTTCATTAAAATTTCCCTAACGAGGTTGGATCCTGATATTTAAGGACATTGGCAAGGTTCCTGGTTATTGTATAGAATTTATCAAGAACTTGTGTGTAGGTTTAAATGTACTAAACAGGCTATATTCTGGATCGTTTTACCTACCAATCCAACATTCTTTTTTAGATTTTGTCAAATTAGTGTTTTTACAATTCTTAATGCATTTCCTATGTAAATTGTTGTTAAAAGGGACTTACATAATTTTTCACCATAATATTTCTTCAAAACCCATTTATTTCATACAGTTTTTGCATTATATACATTATTGTATCTTCATTTCTTATGACTTCTAGATATTTTGGCTAAAAACGTATATATAGAAACAAGACATGGATATACCGGCACCGATCATCATTTTTGAGTTGCGTCCCTTAACAGCTAAAATTGGTCAAAAGACTGGTTGATTGTTTTTATCATGTAATTGGCTGAATTGATTGAAACACATTGTCATAAAAATATTGGCATGGATTTATCTTTAACTTTTATTCGTAGTTACTAAATGCTGATTCCTTCACACGACCTAAGAACTTTTCTCAATTGGCATGGTCGACCTACCTTTCAGCATATGTCACATCTTTGCCCTTCCCAACATACTGAGCATAACTATGGTAAATGACGACCTGTTGGCTCTTTGTCCCTGAATACAATGTACAACAAAGCCATTACTACTTTTCTTTCTTGCTGTATAGATGATTCTACCCGTTGAAGGAAGAACACGTGCTTTTGTTTACATCTGTAACATACGCTATATTGGTTTTCACCGCTTAGAGAATTCTACACGGGAGGTCACTCTCAATCACTATTTTATAAGTGAAAAAACCCATGTATTAAACCTTTTTTCTCCGGAAAACCCTGACTTGCCGATGTCCTTAAAGTTTTAAACTTTTATGTCAAGTATATTTTTAGTTTCTACACACATAGCTTAATTAAAAATCAGAACAAAAAATGGGGGTCAATATGCTTCTTTTGACGCTACAGTACATTTAATATGACCTTTTTGCACTGAAATTTGTGTCTTAATCAAAAATCACATCGTCGATGTTTCCCTCCAAAATTTTTATCCAAATAAATCATGGGACAAAATAAACTATTAGTCTATTTAGAAAAAGACACATTAAAATTGTGACTAAGAAAAAGTTTCAAATTGCTTCGCATAATCAGTTATTTGACCTTTCTGCACTCACAAAATATGATTTTTCTGGCAATAAAAATTTAACAAGCAAGAAAATTATTTTAAAGTCTTAAACTTTTGCTAAATTTAAGCAGATTGATCAAAGTTATCTTATATATTCAGAAAAGAAAAACAAAAGTGGGGGTCTATGATCAAATTTTTTAGATATTACTAAGAAAAAAGTGTTAATTTTATGTTAAAATTGGCTCAATGTTTTCCCGGACTTTCAGAATATATTTACTATATCTGTAACAATATAATGAATGAATTTATAAGAAATAATTTAATAGATATTTCAGAACCAGCATAAAACGTTTCACTACATAAAACAACTCTGTTTGCAACCAGCAAGGAAAAATAGGAGTCTAAACTTAACAGTACTGTATATATTTCAAAAGGGAAAAATTCATCATTTTCTTCTAAAAAACCTTCCGGCACAAAATATAGTTCCTGGCTTAATCCTGAATGGATTTGAATGGAATTTAATCGCGGTTTTTTCATTGCATGTCGTTTAACCTGCATTGTAGAATCCAGGTTTAATGTTAGAACATAAAAATGATGCAGAATTTTAGAAATAAAGGTCCAGACCAAAATCTGCTCAAAAGCTCAGGATCGAACCTCCTTAAATAAACGGCTTTCATACTGTCAACCTTAATCATATGGACGCTTCAGTCCATTTAATAAACTAGTCTTGAACTACAAGTACATGCCAACAGTGATTTCTGGCAATGCTCTCAATAAGTCTGCTGCCTCAGTCCCATTGGAAACCCTGTTTGATCCAATTGCCTACTTGATTTCCCTGCAGCACGGTTCTTCAGTTTTCTGCACTGTGGACAGCTTGGTACATAGCTTCTTACATCCTGCTGTAGGTCGCCCGCGTGGCGCAGTGGTTAGAGCGTTCGCTCTAGAGTCGCAGCGTAATTAAGGAGTTGATCCTTACGTCGCGGGTTCGAATCCCACTGT